AAAGTGGAGCTCCACCCAAAAGGGGAAGTTAAGGATTGGCACCTTTGGGGATGGGGGGGGAGGGGTACCCAAAATTGACAGGTACCCGCTCCCACTTCTGCTGTGATCGCCTAAGTCGATCGGAAGCGGAAGGTGTCTTCCCCCCCTCCCTCCCCGTAGTCTTCTGGGACATGTGACAGGTCCAAGAAGACTACGGGACCATTCACAATGTGCAGCGCTACTAGTGCATGCACAGTGAGCACCCGGCTGTGAAGCCGCAAACTGTCACAGCCGGGCGCCCACATTGAAGATGTTGACGCCGGGAACACAAGACACAGGGCGGCTGGTGAAACAGGCTGGGGAGAGGACACCGCGGATCGAGGGACAGGTGAGTGGCTGTTTTTTTTTATTTTTCTTTCTGCCCCTTCAAATTTTTCTATCACTGCTGTCGAAAATGAAAATAGATTTGACCCCACTACTGATTAGAAAATCAAACAAATATACTGATTTTGAAAAGATTTAAATTGAATTTGAAATTCAGTTTTTTTCCCCCTGATTTAACCTGTCCATACAACAAACACTTTACTCCTGCGCTAGGAAAGGACTCAGTAGACCCAATAGGAATGTTCTGGAATTTTCTGGAGTATGCACTGCTTGCTGCCCTCAACAGACCGGGGTGGTCCAAATACACTGGATACAAATGGAGAAACAGAAAAAGGGTGCACCGATCTAGTGCATTATCGTTTAAAATAATTTATTGAAGAAACAAAATAGGTATCATACTCACAATGGACACTAGACACTAGAGTGGGTCTGAGGAAGAGGTTGTGTCCTCGAAATGCATTAGCCAGTTGGTCATCCAGGGTTCCAATTCAGATGTTGTTTGGATCATACATCTTGTTCAGTTTGACATGCCTGTGTTACTATGTCCATTGTGAGTATGATACCTATTTTGTTTCTTCAATAAATTATTTTAAACAATAATGCACTAGGTTGGTGCGCCTTTTTAACCTGTCCATACACGTGTAGATTTTCGGCCAAGAATATTTGTCAGAAAAGTCATACGAAAATTCTTTGCACATCCGAATGTTGTTCAAAAACTGTCCTTTTAACATTCAATTTTAAAATGAATGTAATTTCTGAACAATAACCACATACACTGGCTGTAGGTGGCCCCATGTCATCCCCTCCCCTCCCTTCCCTTCCCCCCTCTCCTCGGATCTCCTGCCTGCCATGTGAAGAGCCCACCCGGATGATTCCTGCTGCTGCTCCCCGATCTGCTCTCCAGGATGGACTTCAGTCAGGCCGGTCTGTTCAGAAAAAAGTAGAATCTGCATGAGCTGGCAATCAATGAAATGCCAGTCCGCCGGAGCCTCAAGGTACAGCATGACATAATCCACCTGATACTGATTGCACCCCGTGACATCAACCCCTGATCAAGGGCGCCCCAAAAAACACTGCTGCAGGCCACCTGTGATGTCACACACAGTTCTGAAGATATGTATGCCATTCCACCAGCAGATGATGTCACCTACTGATTCCATGCCATCATCATTATCCTAATCATTATCCCCCTGTACCTGGCATCGTACTCCTTAACATCATCATCCTCATCTTCCCTCTACCTGGCATCCTGCCCCTTATCATTCTCATCTTCATCCCCCTGTCCCTGGCATCCTACCCCTTGTCATCATCATCATCCTCATCTAAATCCACCCTCTACCTGGCATCCTACCCCCTTTCATCATTCTGATCTTCCCTCCCTCCCTGTATCCCAACTGCCAGCTTCCTACCACCCCACCACTGTCATCCTCATTCTCATCTTCATCTCCCTCTACACCACTGCCAGCTTCATAGCTACATACCCCTGTCATCATCATCCTCATTTTCATCCCCCTGTACTGCATTGCCAGCCTTCTATCACCCTACTCCCTGTTATCATCTTCATCCCACCTGGTACCCCACTGTCAACTTCTTACCATCCAACCCCTTGTCATCACCCCATACCCCATTGCTAGCTTCTTACCACCCTACCCCCTGTCATCATCGGCCACATCTCTCCTGGTACCCTACTGCTAGTTTTCTACCACCTTACCTCCTATCATCATCATTTTTATCACTCCTATACTCCACTGCTGGCATCCTAACACCCTAGCCCTTATCATCATCATCCTCATCCCTCCTGTACCCCACCTTTGGTATCCTATCACAGTACCTCCTGTCTTCATCATCATCCTCATTTCACCTGTATTCCATTACTGGCATCCTATCACCCTACTCCCCTCTCACTATAGTGGAGATATGATCTCAGCTTCCCACCCCAAAGCTGCATCCTGCCATTCAACCAACTGCACCCCAACAGCGGCACACCACAATACTGACCTGCCCCCCAACTATCAGTGACAGTGGCATTAACTGCCATCTAACTGCCATCTTGGTATTCCAGTGGGGGTATGGGGGCTGGTTATGTATTGGGGGGTCTCCCATTACAGTGGGGTATATATATAGAAGTATAATTATGACTCCCAAAAAGTTACAGTGGCCTCCCTGAATGATTTATTATTATTATTGTTATCAGTTCTGTATATTTTTCTCATTACATGAAATCACTTCTCCATCAGTGAGCAGTAATGATGTGCAGTAACCTCTACCAACCAATGGGTGAGAGGTAATGATGTGCTGTAACCTCTATCAACCAATCCATGAGCACTAATGATGTGCAGTATTCTCTAGCAACCAGTTACAGAGCGGTGATGATGTGCAGTAACCGTTAGCAACCTGTCAGTGAGCCGTAAGGATGTGCAGTAACCTTCAGCAACTAATCTGTAAACCTGGACCAATCGGTGGGTGTTCTTTATGTTCACATTATTTATTTTAGATATGTCTATGTGTGTGTTTGTTTATTGGGATGTTGGGGTGGAGAGAAAAATTGCATGAGCGGGTAGTGGGCCCATGTAAATGTTTACCCAGGGTCCGAATAATAATAAAGATGTCCCTGAGAGCGAGTAATGGGAGAAGAGGAAATCAAGGTCTCTGGGGCCAAAATGGGCTGCTGTCAATGACTGTGGAGAAGTAGAAATGAAACATGTTGAGAAATTTGAAGATGCCAGGAAGTGGGAGAAGTGCATACTCCAGTGAAAAATTCCACAGATGGGGTGAAGCATCCACGTCCTGTGAACTTGGAAACTTGATTTGGTCCAGCAAGCTGTGACACTTGGTGTTGAGCTTGGTGGCCATAAGATGAATGTCTGTAATTTCCATGTACTGCGAATCCGACCATTTTGTAATTCAAAGACCATCCATGAAGTTAAGCTGAGCAGAGCCAGAGGAGTGTGTGGGTAAGCGCGTAGAAAACAAAAGCTTGTCTCCCTGTCGGGGAATCAAACCCCAGTCTCCTGCATGAAAGGCTGGAATACCCATCACTATACTAATGAGGACAACTTGGTGCAGACTACCTGCTCCTGGCAAAAGTACTTATGGCTGCACATATTCTCTTTCAATAGAGCTCTCTGCCTCCTCAGTTTGCCTTGCAGTTGGCTAGCCCTGTACAGCTGGACAACACCCTTATAATAGGCCATGTGCACTTCATCCACCTTATCAGTGGCGTCTGCTATCACTGGCCTTTCTGCCAGTAATACACAACTTGATTTGCCATGCTCAAATGAATGGTGGCTCTACAAAGAAGGTCACACTGAGATTTGCACTCGGATTGCTGCATTCAAAGTCCAGAGTGCTGACCTTTATACCATGGAACCTCTGGGCGAGGATGCTTTCTGGCTTTTCTTCTTTGTTCATATGCCTGTAGCTAACGCTCAATCCCCTTTAACCCCCATAGGACTAACTCTTCTATAATCTTTTCCCTACACCACCTATCAGCACTCTTGACCAATGAAGGGGCAGGAACTTAGATGCTGCCATACAAAGGCATCAGGAAAGCAAAATGTACAGAAAATCATTTCATCCTTTTCCTGGTGCATTCACGGCAGAAGTAGACATGGGATGTCCGAAGCAGCAAGACAGGGATGGGCGTCACAACAATCGATTGATCTAGTGGTAATAGCTATATGGAAGATGGCTTGGAATGTGAGGTTCAGTAGTAAACAGTTTGCCACTGGGTGAAACTGGGAACCAGAGGGAGCTTCCAGCACCAAAGACAGGTCCCAACTTGGAAAAGGGAATGTTCTTTGTGGGATAAATTCTTATGAAGGCCTTAACAAATAGGATGACTGGAAATGATTAGAGAAGGGGAGGCACAATGACTTCCCATTAGGGTTGAGAGTGCAGAAACTGGTATCTTAATAGATTTTAACCAAAGACCAACTCTAGAACTTGTTGCATACCAGGGGGAGAGAGGGTCAAAAAAGACCCTCCCCAAGGCCAAACCAATGAATCTGCTGCATACTCTGCTGTATGTTGGCCTGGTCGTGGGCTTTTAGTGGGGCATTAACCTCCCTAGCGGTCAGATTATGTTCATATATCTGTGCTCAAAGCGGGACATTTTTTTGCATGGAAATATGTATTTTTTTTATTGTAGGCCTGTAATTTTTAGGAATAGCTCATTAAAATCTGTCCGCACAAGAGTCTAGTAAACATCCCTGGTATGTTACAATTTGAAACACGAAATCATAAATTATAATTTAATAAATAATCATAAAATATAATAATTAATAATAATAAATTTAATTCAATAATATAATCAAACCAAAAACACTGAAATTTTAAATTGAGCGCAAAGTTCGCACATCACTGAGCAAAGTCGCAAAATCGTTTTCAGTGTCTGATGACAAATTTCCCTTATGAATCATTATCACTCAATTCTGCAAGTGGTTCTGATTTACTATCGCTGTTCTCTAGCTGGTCTAATAGCGCTTTTGACCTAAAGGGCGCTTTTTGGACGCCATGGACGTTTCTCAGTTTCCAGGCAGAAAGAACAGTAAAAATGCAGGCAGGGCACAGGACAAAGCAGTAGGGACAAAATGTATGTGAAATGGTTTGATACAGTAATGTTTTACTATGTGATTTTAGTGTATTTAGTGAATGTCACTTTTTGACATTTTCAAATTTCCCGCTGTTCCGTCCCCGTACGTCCCGACGCTCGCAGGGGACGGAACCCAGATGACAGATGCCGGCATCCGCCGGAGGACATTGCCGGGGACACTGCAGGAGGGACATCGCGGGGAGCGCAGGACAAGGTAAGTGATCGAGGGATCCCGGAGAAGTGCCGCATGGTATTCCCGAGTGTAGCTCGGGGTTACCGCTTGTGGTACTGAAACCTTACCCTGAGCTACACTTGGGAATACCGCCAGGGAGGTTAATGGTCTGTGAAGAGCACACTGGGCTCACTAGCCTATGCCTTTAAAACCTGATCCACTGGCCCTCCCCTGACATTGGCTCCCTCAAGGCGCTGGAGAGTTTTCACTTCTGTCTGCTTTGAGTATGAGCTTAGTCCTCACCCCTAGAAAAACGAGCTGCTGATCCATGCAGTGAGGGCACAATCCTACTGCATGGTAAAAAAAAAAATTAACTGGAGTTCTGCTTTATTATTTTGCTAAAAAAGCATAGTAAATGCAATATTTATCTATGTTAGGTGGCTTACATTACTGTTTGTTTTCAACATCAATAAACAAAAAAATTTGTTTTCAAGAAAATATTAATGGTACTATGATTAGAAATATATTTGTACAATAAAGAATGAATAGAAATTGCTATTATTTATTACCTGGATATTGTCCCTTGTCCCTTCGGATCATTATTCCGAAACATTTGGGAAATGTAGGTGTGAGAATTAGTTAGCTTCTCCCTAATTATGGAAATGATCTATGGAAAAAAATGTACAAGTAAATGATCCATATTCATGACAATAGAGAAGATTACGTGCACACTAACCTCAATCAACAAGGCACACCAAATAATATTTATACTGCCTTTTATTGTTGCTAAATGTGTTGTTTTTTTTTTTTTTCTTGGCATGCCCTATTGTTTGTGGCACACCTGAGGGTTCACTCCGGAGCCAGACTATGTGCATCTATAGACACACACAGTGCGGCTCAGGCCTGCTCTCTGCTCACAGGATTTGACTGAAAGAAACAGTAGCCAATGTCCTTGTGAGGAGAGGAAGAGACAAGCTCAGGTAAGTGTTTGGGGGGGAATAGTTAGTGGGGTGTTTTTTATCTTAAAACAAGGAATGTGTTAAGATAAAAAAAAAAACAAGGCTTTAGAACTACTTTAAGTATATTAAAAACCTGTTAATGAGCTTGTCACCACTAGGACTGTGGAAAGGTTTCAAAAGCAAACACCTAAACTATTTAAAGGTTAGAAAAATGTCTAGCTTCGAAAAACTTGCCTTGTCTATTTAATATGTGCATGTGAAACTCAAATGAAACACTGAGGCCACATTATATCTCCTGAGGACACCTACTTAATTCAAGAAAAAAGATTATAGCACTTTGATAATTAATATTATTGTAATAATACAGCAGTTTATGAAAGAAAGGGCCCATTTAACATTTTCTGAAGTATTCGCCTTCACAATGTAGATAAGGTCAATGTGAAGAAGTATCAAGTGGTCATTTATCTCAAGAACTGTACAAAGGACAAGGTGGCACCAAATGCATGTAGAGATATTTTTGCTATTATGACAGAAAAGAGTTCTATAGGTAAGAATAGGTATTGAAAGATATAAAGAAAACAAAACCTCAGCGCCCAGGACTCTCCTATTAACCATACAAATCCCCGTGAGATGCTGCTGTGCACAGGTACAAAAAACCAAAAAACTTTTATCAATGAAAACCAGCGCAAACCCACATAATCAATTGCATTACTCAACTTAGAAAACCACTTTGTGTTAATAAAAATATATATATAATAAATTATATATAAATAAATTAATATAAAAATATTAAATTCATAAGTCCAGTGACTAAAAATCAAGTGACAAAAAAATCAAAAAATCCCAAAAAATATATATTTAACAGTCCCGTGACAAAAAAATCAAATAAATTATAATTTTCATTGGATTCTTCCGTGTTTATGATCCCTTCACCATCCACCAGTGCAGAAATCAACATTAACCGCACTCACCAGATAGTAGTGAGTCACACGCCTTTCAGGAATATTAAGGGCTCCTGGACCCCCTTTACTTTTTGTGAGACCTCCAAATGCTGTTTCTTCTTATGTCTGGGTACCTCTTCTGCTTACTCCTCTCACCGAATCCCCCAAGGAAAATCAGGAAGAAGAAAAGACCATAGCGTGATACCGTAGTAATTTCTCCTCAAAGTAATCTCTCCAGACCACTCACATTCTTTTGCGGGATATAACCCACTTTTTATTCAAAACAACAATAATTTTCTTCCAAAGTGATCCACTTTTCAAGTACACCGACTTTTTAAGAGACCCCACAGCCTCGTATGCAGCAGGATGGCAGACCTCAGCTACAGACTCATCTGCTAAGCTAAGATGGCCCCTTGGAACGCACCGCTCGGCGTGCGCTCCACTCACCGGAAATGACGTCAGACGACGGAACAGGCAACCGGAAGTGCGTCAACGCGTTTCGCCCCACCCACAGGGCGTTATCAAGACGCTCATTTCCACTTCCAAGCCGCTTATAAAGCATTGGGAGATCCCTCCCACTAATTAATCTGGACACAAAACCTGGACATAAACATGTCCATCACCGCCATCCATCTGCATACCCATGTGGGGTCCCTTTACAACAAAAACCATTACAATAAATACATTGATTAAAAAACATAATACCTAATACCTAATTTTAACCTTAAGTCTTCAACCCCAACCATGAGGGTAGAGACAAATAAAAATAAATATACATAAAAATAAAAATTAAATTAAAATAAAAATAAAAATAAAATTAAAAATAGAAATGAAAATAAAAATAAAAATAAAAATAAATATAAATAAAAATAAATATAAGAATAAAAATAAAATTAAAATAAAAATAAATAAAAATAAAAATAAAATAAATAAATAAAAATAAAAATAAAAATATAAATAATAAAAATAAAAATAAATAAAAATAAAAAAAATAAAAACACCTAATCATGAACACGCACTACGGACAATACTGGATATTACCAATTCGACAAAAAGCAATTTATATCAATATCTACATTCAACCCATTAGGATACAATGTACCCATTTGATAAATCCACTTCGTTTCATTTTGGGACACATTTATTACCATATTTCCTCCCCTCCAAGGGGCTTCTACTCTATCTATCCCACAAAATTTCAACGATGCCGGATCTCTGTTATGATACCTTCTAAAATGATAAGATAAACTATGATGTTTGAATCCCTTCTTTATGTTCCTAATATGTTCTCCCAATCTGGTGGCAAGTTTCCTCGTTGTTCTCCCTATATACTGGAGCTTACAAGAGCACTCCAGCAGATAGGTCACATGCGTGCTGTCACATGATATAAATTTATTAATCTTATGGGATCCTCCATTATAACAGGATTGAAAATCCTTGTAATGCTTCTTTCTATCCCCTTTCAGGGTTCTACAAGCCAAACACCTCCCACACTTGAAAAAACCAACCCTATCCAGAAAGGTAACCAATTTCTTAGGTACATCTGGAACATTTTTAACAAGTCTAGACCTTAAAGTAGATGGTTTTCTATATATAAACAAGGGTTTGCTAGGTAACACTTTCCCAAGGGTTTCATCCCTCATTAAAATTGACCAATATTTTTTAATAATGTTTTCAACTAATTTATAATGCTTAGAATATCCTGTAATGAAAGCCATATCTCCCAACTTCTTTTTACTTTCTTTTTTCTTTAGAAGTTCATCTCTACTAATCTTTCTAACCTGTTCCATTGAAACCGCCAGATTTTCTTCTCCATAGCCTTTCTCCCTAAACCTTTATATGTGTAAAACACTACTATTCCCAACTATTTTATAAGCACACTTCACCTCTACCCTTAGAGGTGTACAATTATAAATACAAATATGCTCGGTGATCACTAATAAAATACTTTTCCCTATATAATCTCACATCTATAAATAAAGTCCAATTTTTAAATTAAAGTCCAATAAAGCAAATACGTGTAGTCCGAAAAATAGTTTCCAATATCAACCAACGAAAACTCTTCACTGCTTGTAAACCTTGATTACCTCAAAAAAAAACAAAAAAATTCACATAGTGCATTATCCTTTATAAAAATCTCATTACCCTATAAGGTTAATACAATCTTATTCACCCAAGTGAAAAACACGTGTATATATCCAAAACGCATACACATGTGATATATTGTGCAAAACCATGCAAGTGAGACACTCTGCCGTGCTACAAACTCCTAGCACAGTGCACACTTCTATTGGGGTAAGGAATAAATACCCTTACCAATATTTAAGATAATATATGCTTTATTATCTTAATCCTCAGAGAATTTCTCTGGTGGTGTAGCTCTTTGTATGGATATCCTCCGGATTAGCTTTATAAGGATCCTTCCACCCTAGCAGCCTGGAGATGCTTTCACCAAACACATCAGCCCGATTTCCATATATAAGGAACAGATCATAGCATAATACTGCCACATACTTTGATCAAAAACTTTTAATTATCTTGCTTACATTTAAAATCATCTTTAACCGCACATAATAAAAAACCTGTCTGCCATCCGGAATCCAGGAGAGTCCCAATCGTAACTCACAGCCGAGATTTTGCCCTCTCCAAGATGGCCGCCACTCTACTTCCGGAATATTCGTATGCGTCTGACGTCACCTCCCTTTGACGCGTTTCGTCATTGGACGTAATCATAAAGGGTTTATGATTACGTCCAATGACGAAACGCGTCAAAGGGAGGTGACGTCAGACGCATACGAATATTCCGGAAGTAGAGTGGCGGCCATCTTGGAGAGGGCAAAATCTCGGCTGTGAGTTACGATTGGGACTCTCCTGGATTCCGGATGGCAGACAGGTTTTTTATTATGTGCGGTTAAAGATGATTTTAAATGTAAGCAAGATAATTAAAAGTTTTTGATCAAAGTATGTGGCAGTATTATGCTATAATCTGTTCCTTATATATGGAAATCGGGCTGATGTGTTTGGTGAAAGCATCTCCAGGCTGCTAGGGTGGAAGGATCCTTATAAAGCTAATCCGGAGGATATCCATACAAAGAGCTACACCACCAGAGAAATTCTCTGAGGATTAAGATAATAAAGCATATATTATCTTAAATATTGGTAAGGGTATTTATTCCTTACCCCAATAGAAGTGTGCACTGTGCTAGGAGTTTGTAGCACGGCAGAGTGTCTCACTTGCATGGTTTTGCACAATATATCAC